TTCTCCACCATGAATTGTGATGCCATGGTGCTTCCTCAGGATGGGGTGGATCTTCTCTTATTATCAGCGGTGAGCCGGTGACTATACTGATGCTTCAGGTCTCATTTTTCCGGTCAGGAGAGACTAGAATTTGTTGCCAAGCCCAATAATGAAGTGCATGTTCCTCGTTCTCCTGAAAGGATTTTTATTTATTTTTTCCATGTCGCATGGATTAAGATTGGTTCTTTATTTTTTTTTTCACTTGAATGTCCTGCAAAATACATGCTGGCTTTGCATGATGTAAATCATTTCATCAATCTTAGTTTCAAATTTTAATTGTAGCCAAGATGCTTGGGCTGCCCAATCTATACCATAATTAAAATTTTCTTTTGCTTGCCCAAGCCTATTGATTTCATATGATGCTTCTTATGTACGATAGTTTTCTCCTATATTACACAACAATATCCCGCAGCAACACGCGGGGTATTATCTAGTTATAATAAATAACAAGAACTTCTACTAGCAAATAATATAAACACCATAATGAGTCCATCAAGATTCGAATGATTTCAAGCTAGATATCATAAGATAGAGCATGTATCTAGAAACAAAACTTCAACTAGTGTAAGGATCTCTATATAGCTAGAGGGTGTGATGGTGAATAGCCTAACTTAAAATTTCTACAAACAATAACACTAGGTAAAACCGACTAAAAACAAGGAGGCCCTAATACACTCTACCTCCAGGTAGCATGGCAAGCCTAGGGTGAAAAAACTACATAGTCTAGTAATCAAGAGTAAAGCAACTATGGCTATGTCACTAGCAAGATAAACAAGCTAAACAGGAACACTAGCAAAAAAACAACTACACAAGATGAGCACACGAGTGAACAATAGCAAAGCACAAGTGTAGAATGGGGAATCACAAAGATAGAGATACAAAGATTTATCCTGTGGTACCGAAGCAAAACCAATTAAAATCCCAAAATCTTATTTAATCTTAAAAAATCCTAGAATATTTTTTTATCATGTCATGGCTCATATGAGATGAGCTCCTCTATCAACACTAGATGAGCATTGCAACAACTTCAAGTCACCTCTCCACCATGGCTTCAAGCGTTGCTCATACTAATGTACTTGTAAACTAATCACCTGTGTATCTCAACATAAACATATATTAGTCCACTTAAGTTGTCACTCAATTACTGTAGGGTCGAGATGGTGGACTAGAGAGGGGTGAATAGTCCTTTCTAAAAATTAATCGTGCCGGCTAATCGAAACAAATGCAGAATTAAAACTATCGATCTAGCCAAGACTATACCCCTCTATCTAAATTCTCAAGCACCTTATAAAGATCCTAATTATGCAACAAAGCTGCCAGGCTAGCTAGAGCTCACCTAAACAATTCTAGAGTAAGGTCACATAAACCTATGCACTAGTACTTCAAACAACTAGGGGAGCTCCTACACAATCTAGTAAGTAAAAGCACAAAGCCACCTAAGCTCACTAGCAATGCTCAATAACAAGGCAACTAATGCAAAATTAGAGAGGGTAAAATACTTAGCTACACAAACTAAGCAATGTGACTAACAAGGAAGACAAGAATGACACGGTGATTTTATCCCGAGGTTTACGTGCTTGCTAACACACTAGTCCCCGTTGTGTCGACCGCTCACTTGGTGGTTCAGGGCTAATTGACATCATCCGCCAAGCCCGCACGTTGGGCACCGCAAGAACCTACCTCGAAAGTGAGGGTAGCTCAATGACACACTCAACTAGAGTTGCTCTTAGCGATCCCCGCGGGGTGAGCACAATCTTCTCGCGTGCTTCAACAGAGTCACAAGCCACCAAGCCATCTAGGAGGTGGCAACCTCCAAGAGTAACAAGCACCACCGGCTTGCAACCCGATCATCTAGTACCACTCAATGCAACCTCACGATGCAATCACACTAGAATCACACTCACACTCACACTCACACTCAATCGGATGCTCACTATTGAGCGTATGTGAGTTAGAGTAAGATAAACGCAGTAGTAATAGTAGTCTCAATATATGGAGCGATTACAGCGCTGAGGGAAGGAATTGGCCAAGGAGATGCCAGCGGCTTTGTCAGTGTCACCAGCCAAGCCCGTCTAGCTCAGTCGGTAGAGCGCAAGGCTCTTAACCTTGTGGTCGTGGGTTCGAGCCCCACGGTGGGCGCTGTCTTTTATTTTTTTCCAGAAAACTCCTGTTTGCAACATGAGACATACTATAATCTTTTGCCTTTTATTTTTTGTTTCCAGGAAACTCCTCTTTGCACATATAAGACATACTACAATCTTTTGCCTTTTCTTCTATACATCATCGCCAAAGTTATTTTGATTTAATGTTTCCACAAAAATCCTATTTGCACATATAAGAAAAATAAGACATATTACAATCTTTTGCCTTTTCTGTAACCACTCGTGCTGAAATTTTCTTTACACCATCGCCAAGTAAAGCCCAAATCCAGTGTCCCTAACAAACATAATAAAATGCTTGCAACCTCTTTTTTTTGAAAATTTAAATTTTCATTGTATCACAAACAAAGTACACATTAGGGCTAAGATTGCCCCATTCGAAATGTTCCAAAACTTGAGGGAAGAGAGAAGACAACAGTTTGGATTCTAGCACTCCTTGCTTTTTTGGCAAGTGTGTCAGTTGTTTTGTTTGACTCTCTTCCGATCTTGATGAACGAGATATTTCTGACTTGGCTGATCTCATGTAATTCAGAAAGTAGAGGCCGTAGTGTCCAATGACCTAGATGAGTTTGATGTGAACCAGCACAAGTAAACTGCGCTATGTTCGCTTGAGCTTATCAGCTAGAATTTGTCAGCCAGAAAACAATATTTTTCTCTCACAACAAATCAGCCATTCAAATCAGCTGGAGCCAAAATAAGTCCTGCCCAACAGAGCTGGCACCTGATTGTCAGTACAGAGAGTTGCTTCGTGCGAAGTTGAGTGCCATAGCCTGCTTGGCACCGAGAAAGGAGGGCGAGAGTTACAGCCTCCAAGGGCTCCAAAATCTAGGGAATTGCTACCTGGAAAAAAGATGCATAGGAAAGACTTCTTGCAGGGGTTTTGAGAATGAAAATCCCAATGCATGTTTGGTTCGGCGTGGTGGCACCTTGTATGCCTACAGAGGCATCACAGAAAATTCAGGACCAACTGAACTTTGTAAGCATGTGGGCCTAGGTTGTGGAGGAATATGCATAACAGGGTCCTCCTCAATAGCCATGCAATAAGCTTTAGCCCTGTTCACTTGACTTATAATCCGTACTTTTTCAGCGAACGAACAGTATTTTTCTCTCACAATAAATTAGCCAACAGTACTTTCAGCCATGGCTTATCAGCCAAGCTAACAGGGCGAGGTCAATTGCATTTGCCTATTGTAGAACTCTAGAAACTGACCAATTTATGTTGTTAAATTTATGACCATTGCGTGCTTTCCAAAGACACCACATGATAGAGAAAATCATACCTAAGGTAGCATGTGAGGGTCCTTGTTGCATAATAGTAGCAATTTAAGTGTGTAGTCCATGGTGCGATGAAGGCAAGGCATCAACTCTAAGTCCGATAGGTGAGACAAATCAAACCACCTTGGCAACCATATCTTTTAAGAACTTGCTAGCGTATGGACGTCCGATTCGGGGCGCTAGCATCGGATGGTGCCCCGTGCGCAAAGAGAAGGAGCCCACACATCGAGTAAGCGAGCGCCCCAGCAGTGTCAGGCTTGTGACTGAGCGCCCCAGCAGCAGGCCCGCACCGCCTCGGACGTCGTCCGCACTGCCCCGGACGTTGCCCACGCCGCCAGTCGCTTTCCACATGAATCCATGTGCAACACCCCGATCTACTTTTGACACATCTGGATGCAACAATTACAACAACAAAAGAAGATAGATGAAACACTTAAAATATGCGTATGAAATACTTGCAAAAACACCTGAAAAACACTTGAAAACCATTGCAAAACATATGCAACATCCAGATGAGACACATGTAACAGATGTATGAAACACCTGAAACACTTGAAACATATGCTTACAACATGCATGTATATGCAACATCTAGATCTACTTTTGCAACATCCAGATGAAAACACTTGCAACATACGTATGATACAAATGAAACATTTGGAGCATACACTTGAAACATATGTGTATAGCATTGCAACATGTGCAACATCTCGATCTACTTTTGCAACATCCCGATCTACTTTTGCATCATCGATATAAAACGCCTGCAACATACCTCGGAAAAACACTTGAAACATATGTTTCCAACATACTCTTTCAGCGCAAACATCTTCTTCCTGCTTTAGCAAATGGAGGCTCGTCGGCACGTGGAGGTCATTGGTGTGCTTGCCGGCAACGCGGAGCTAGGCGGCGGCGGCGCACAAAGGACGGGTGTGGGGGGCGGCATGGGGTGGCGGTGGCGCTGAGGGGTGGGTGGGTGGGTGGCGCATGCAGGTCGCCGATGTGCAACGGCAGCGGCGCACGAGAGGGCAGGGTGGGGGCGGCACGGGCGGCGGTGCATAGAGGGCGGGTGGCGCGCGATAGCGGTGGCGCACAGGGTGGGCGGACGGCCACATGTGAGGCGGAGTCAAGATACAAACTTTTTTCAGAAGGCAGCGTCTGGAGGAACGGAGGCCCGCACCGTAGCATTTCCGTATCTTTTACCAATACGAGTTGAACACAAATTTAGTATGTTTATTGATTATTTATTATAGCATAATAGGTAATCATAAAATACGGACATATAATGCTATATTAAATAACAAGACATAACAAGAATATTTTTCTGCTTTTCTGGTTATCATACACGGGACACCACTAGATCGACCAGACTAGTAAATCCAATGTTTCATTTCCTTGTGTACTCCAGCTAAGGTTTCTTTTGTGTTGTAGCATAGTTTCGCATAATCGATCAAGAAATTAAAGAAATGATAATGACCTGTCACACTCAGGAGAGTGTGCATCTAGATCTCAGTTCTCAGAGATTCATCAGACGCGGCCTCCGGTGGCGGAGGCGATGAACGACAGCAGCGGGTTACCAGCGCCACCAGCACCCTGGTCAACAACCTCATCGAGGAACAGGTCCTCAGGCACACGGAACGTACCGTGCGCGCACACGACCGCCGCGCCCAGCGCTAGCGCGGAGAAGATGAGCGAGCCCACGGACGTGAGGAAGACGACGAACGCGGACGCGGCGACGAGCCCGCCGAGCACCTCGCGGTCGGAGAAGGTGCGGCCGAACGCGGCGACGGGCGGCGCGTCAGCGGGGCGGAGCACGTAGAGGAGGCACCAGGCGGCCAGCAGCGCCAGCAGCGCGGCCAGCGAGAACGGGTGCGCGAGGAGGGACGCGGCCAGGCACAGCGCGGTGACCGCGGCGTAGTTGACGCGGAAGTAGGCGAGGTTCTTGCGGAGACGGGAGGTGGCCTCGGCAGGGGCGAAGCTACGTATACATTAGTGGGTGCAAATGCACCCACAACAAAAACAAAATTTAGTATTAACTATCTCACATTCACCGCTTGTGCACCCCCCTCAAACAATGATCATGCACCCCCCACGAGCCAACATGGAAGCGTGAAAGCTCAGACCAATGGCAAGCAAGTAATTATTGCTTGTTTGCAGATTATCTCCATCATAGGGATAGATACAAAATTGGTGTCCAGATTTGTATTGTGTTCAGGGTACAGCTAGGTTCGATATCAAGTACACATAAGAATAGTATGGTTTATTTAGAGAGGCTAAGACTAATTATTAGCCAAGCTAAAAAGCTAGCTAAGAAATTAGCCATCTAATTACTAGTCGGTGTATGTTTGTATCCTTCGCTAATGGGCTAACAACTAGTCAAGGCTTGTTAAAAATTAGGCCTCCTATTTGGGTGAACTGAGCAAAATTTCAGCTACAAGTTGTTAGCCACTTAGCCTATATGATCCAAATAGACCCTAAGTAGAGACTCATTTTTCATTATTTCATAATTATTAGGAGCTCCCGTTATATAGCCTTGATTTGTCAAACTATACAGTTCAATAAAATTTTAGGATTTAAATGGTCAAACTAATTTTTCAAGGGATGTCAGGTAGGTCAAACTTTGAAAAATGTGTAAATGCTTGAGCGCCTCTAAACTTATTAAGGGGTGTCACTTAGGTCCGTGAACTTAAAAAAAACATTTCTAGGTCCATAAATTTGTTAATAATGCACCACAGTGGTCAGTATAGTCCAGAAATGAACCTGCAGTGCATCATTTTACAAGTTTAGAGTGTGCAGTGCACCATTTTAACCTATGTGGCCGCCCACAAGTTCATAGATTGCTGATGTATTTCTCTTAAAAAACGAATTTTACCATGTAAATTTTTGCATATGGTTATGTATTACTGAAGTGATGCACCCCCCCTCGTTTCAGCTCTAGCTTCGCCACTGGGCCTCGGCGAGGGAGTCTGGGTGGGAGAGCGTAGAGCGGTCCGCCAGCTCGGACCAGGGCCGCGCGCCGGAGAGCGCGCCACGGGTGGTGTCGACGAGGCGGGAGAGGAACGCCCGGATCGCCGCTGGGTTGGTATCGGTGGCGTCCGCGGAGGAGAGGGCCGTGGGTATGGGCGCAGGGGTGGGGGTGGGGGATGGTGCGGCGGCCGGGACCACCGTGGTGGGGAGGAGCGGAGGCGAGGCCGCGGCCATGGCGTATGTCGAGGTGGCGATCGGCGATCTCTGTGCCTCGCGGGTTTAGCGGATCTGAGGGGAGGGAGAGGAGATGGGCGCGAATACAAATGGTGGCCTGACCGACCGACCCCCAGCCTCTTCGTTTCGACGTGGCTTGTCATAAACGATCGTAAATTTTTAGCTAGAATAGTATTTTTCTCTCACATAAACTAGCTAGCAGTACTTCTTCATGAACCAGCAACGATACGAACCAGCCATCCGAACAGGCTGTCCGTCGTGGTTGCCAAACAAGCCGCACCGCACCGACATACGGGTCAACGCTTCACCAGTCAGCACTCACCACGCTGCACGTTTTCTTCTTGTGAAAAATGGCCTAAAAATCTGCCTTTTATTTATTTATTTATTTATTTTTGTCGAGAAATAATTTGTTGTTTTCCTTGTCTCCAGTCCATCAAGAGTTCCTTATTTTACACTCAAAGTTGTGAGTGGCTGACAATTGCTCCATCAAGAGTCCATCAAGAGATTTTTCCTTGGCTCCATCAAAAGTTCATTTTTATCACATTGAAAATTCATACGAGCAATGTCGCATGGGCAGTCACTCCAGGCTCGAGTTGCCAAGAAAAGCAGCAAAGTCAGTGCTTATGCAGCTAACATTGATGGTTAGGTAAGGTAACGACGCAATGTGCTTGAAATTGTGATGCACAAGAAACGATGCTCGGGCAGCAGCAGAAGTTTCCCTTTCCAGGTTAGGCAGCAACAAAGAGTAGGTCCAGCACCAACAGCAACAAGTCTGCAATGCATCTCCCTTCACCTTTTTCAATACCAATCAACCACCATGTACTTTGCTTGGATCTAGAAAAAGAAACAGCCGGCACACCAGCAAAGCTCTTCCTACTATACCAGGACAGCAAATCACAACAGCAAAAAGGCTAGTCTGAAAAGCAACACTAGCTTTGGCAGATTTTCGCTAGGTTAACAAAGAACAAACCATTTCAAGCTACGGTTAGCATACCCAAAGAACCAACCAAGATAAAAGGGTGTCTGGTTTGGACCGCTAAACTTTAGTCCATCCTAAATGGTTTAATCCCATTTTGTCATTTCAGAGCTGCTAGAGAGGACTAAAGCCCTTTTAATCCCATTTAGTCATAGTATTTAGATAAAAAATGATTAAATAGGACTAGATTTAGGAGCTCCCTAGCTGAATCAAACACCCCCTAATATAGACGGATCTCAAGGCAATAATTTAAGATAGCACAAGCATGCTAGGAGGCACTCAACACGTCTGCATCCAACTTCCAGTTCCACACAACAGTTATCAATCCTCGTTTCAGCACCAATTGACACACATCTTATGACATTGTCCTTAATAGGCAATAGCCATGGCATTAGGCACTATGAATTTCCTTTATTGAAGCTGCAGACCTCAAATCTAGAAGGTGGAGCCGTTCCAACCGAAGTCCGAGCGCTGCATGATGATATAATGAATGTATCAGTGCTCAAGATTAGCATGACAATTGACACCATGATAACAGCGGACAGTGAAGATCTTAACAACGTCTATCAGTCTATGAAGACAAGTAGAAACGAAGCATGTGCAGAATTAGGAAGATGGCGCCAAACAACATATGGTTATTTACATGATCTATTCTTAATGCAAAGCATGCAAACATTGAGCATGTTCTTGTGCCGGATGGGCCTAACAAACAGCAAAATTCCAATGAGAACATGATGATGGCAATGCCAGCACTCAGCTTCTTATTCACATCAGGGTTCAGACCTCCAATGGAAACCAGCTTACCGTAAGCTGCGGGCTCCTGGGTACCTCCAAATGCCATAGGCACCGAACCCTTGAGAACAATCATCACGTACTGTAGGAGGACAACCATTCCAGTTAGTTCCTCAAGATGATAGTACTAAAGAGAAATGGCTTCATCCAAATATAAGTCAAGAACAGAGAAACAATAAAAGCTAAAGTTCAGTAATTTGAGCCTAGCACCATAGGTCAACAACCACGAACCAAATAATGTTAGTATATGAGAATGAGATTAGCATGGTCAAGTTATGAACACAATGTATTCACTATTGAGAGAGGTCATTTTTGTCCTTAATAGTAGCAAAGCAGTTGCCTGACTAACACTACATGGACTAAACGGCTAACAGAAGATGAAAAGCTGTGACCTCTAGTACAGGGCATAAAAATTTGGATACTAAACTACATAGCAAAGTAGCTGCATGAGTAACACTAACACGAAGTGACCGATCGACATGAACTTTCAAATTTCATCTATGTAAAATTGATGGCTGTAGTACTAGGGTAACATAAAGGAAAAGCACGCGCAGCCCATGGTCCACATATTTAACAACACTTGAGATTAGTGCTGAAGAATGGGATACACTAGGGGGTTGCTGGTTGATAGAAATCTGGTCCAGAAAAACTGTGAGCACAGACTTTCATCAGTTAGTTTGTTGTAAATACATTTGTTAAATTGGAAGACGAATGGTTTGGCATTTCTTGTACTGAGTGACCACAATGGTCAGTATATCAGTCCCACATAGACACTGGGTGTGCAATCTGATACTTCGAGTTATCTAGTTATTTTCTTAATGCTGAAACTACTAAAATGAAAAAAAATACAGTTTAATTATATATGAACTCAATTTAAGAATGTCCACAATATGCAGGAGATTCCAGTCCCTGTGAGGATTCTAGGTCATGTCATGTGAATGTTAACGAAGTGTTCGAGTGAGAATCAACATCGGGTGTTAATGCACCTAGAGGATATTCCCCAAAATAAAAGCCGGGGAGGAAAAAAATCCCTATTGCGACTTGCGGTTTTTACCAAAGAGAAACATTGGGAGATTTACTGATTCACACAAATTCTCTTTAAACTAACATCAATAAACACAAATGATTGATTGATTGACAACAGTCTGAGAAAGGTGTCATGCAAATATGCACATCCCGCTCAAAACCCTAACAGATTGCCAAGTGCCGAACCCTTGAGAACAACCATCACTACTTTGTGGCGGTGACAACCATTCCAGTTAGTTACTCATGATGATAGTACTCAAGAGAAATGGCTTCATCCAAATAAGTCCGAACAAAGAAACAAAAGAAAAGCTAAAGTTCAAGAATTTGAGCCTAGCACCACATATTACCCAACCAGAATCCAAATGGTGTTAGTATGAGAATGAGATTAGTGTGGTCGGTTATGAATACAATGTATTCAGAGAGGTCATTTTGTCCCCTGAAAGTAGCAAAGCAAATTTGCTGACTAATACTAAGTGGACTACACGGTTAACATAAGATGCAAAGTTGTGACCTCTAGTACAGGGCATAAAAGTTTGGGTCTTGAACTACATGGCAAAGCACCCCGGCTCGAGTAACAATGGTAACACTAACACGAAGTCACCGATAAACATGAACGTTCATATTTGATCTATGTAAATTTGATGGCCGTGAGTACTAGGGTAACATAAAGGAAGAGCACATGCAGCTCATGGTCTTTATATTTAACAAGACTTGAGATTAGTCTTTGAAGAATGGTATACTAGGGGTTCTTTGGTTGATAGAAATCTGGTCCGAAAAACTGTGGGCATAGAATTTCATCGATTAGTTTGTCTGTAAATACATCTCGTTAAATTGGTAGATGAATGATTTGGGATTTCATGTACCGAGTGATTACAATGGTCAAGATATCTCAGGTCCCACATAGACACCTTTGGTGTGCGATCTAATACTTTTGAGTTATTGTCTTCCTCAATGTTGAAACTATTAAAATAAAAAAATACAGTATAATAATTATATATGAACTCAATTAAAGAATGTCCACGATATGCAGGAGATTGCAGTCCCATCCTAGGGAATATTAACAAAGTGTTAAAGTGAGTTCAATGAGAATCGATATCGGGGGCGTCCATAGTGCGCCTGGAGGATATCCCCCCCCCCCCAAATAAAAGCCTATAGGTGAAAAATCCCCATTTCAATATTTACCAAAGAGGCAAAGAGTAGAAATATTGGAAGATTTACTGATTCACACGAATTTTCTTTATACTAACATCAACAAACACGATCAATTGATTGATAACGTACAGAAAGGTGTCATGCAGCGATGCACATCTTGCTCTAAACCCTAACAGGTTGCCAAGTGTCAAGTGCCAATTAAAAAAAGAAGTATAATCTCCACCAACCAAATAGACCCACAATCTACAAGAGCCTACACAAGCAACAAGATAGCAGAGAACAAGAGGGGAACAAGAGGGGAAGGGGAAGGCGGAGGCTTACGGCCTCTAGCTTGCCGATGATGTTGGCAACGGACTTGGAGGCTTCGGCGAGGATGGCGGAGGTGTCCACCCCCTCCAGGTTCACGTTGGTCGACACGTTCAGGCACGGCATCCTCGCTCGCTTCCTCTTCCTCTTCCTCTTCCTCCTCTCCGCAACTGCCTCCGGCTGGCCGCCTTCTCCTCCTCTGCTCTGCTCCGCTCACTGCTCTCTGAGTCTCTGGTCTGTGCTGCTCCTCTCCCTCTCTATCCTGCTACACATAAGAGAAAATCGGAATTCTGCCTTTATGGGACGTGGGCTTCGCCCAAATGCCATCAATTTTGTGGGCTTCGCTGAAATGCCCTTATGAAACGAGACCAACACGCTATAATGCCATTTTGAGTTTTAAGTCGACTTTAAAAAAAATTCAGCCAAAATTTTAGCCTTCAGTGACTATTTTGCCCTAGACCTCGTTGACCTATGCACTGCGCTCTCATCTCTCCCCCTCTCGTTGTTCTCTCGCTTGAGTGAAAGGCATAGCGCTGCCACCCTAGGCCGCCCCCACCCCGGGCCGAGCCTCGCCACCGCCATCCGCCCCCAAGACGCTCCCTGCCCCAGGCAAAGGCTAGCCTGTCGGCGCCACCACGAGCAGGTCCTCGCTCTCCCCGTCGCTAGATCTGCGGCCGTTGCTCTTGGCCGTCCGAGTGCTCTTCCCCAGGCGAAGGCAGCCCCAGCCAAGCCGCCCATCCACGCCAGGCCACCGTCGCCTGGCCGCGCGTCACCAGGCGCGCCGCGCCTCCCTGCGTCACCAGGCACATCGCCCTAGACCAACCCCGGAATTCTGCCTTTATGGGACGTGGGCTTCGCCCAAATGCCATCAATTTTGTGGGCTTCGCTGAAATGCCCTTATGAAACGAGACCAACACGCTATAATGCAATTTTGAGTTTTAAGTCGACTTTAAAAAAATTCAGCCAAAATTTTAGCCTTCAAAGGACTATTTTGCCCCTGCACCTGTTGACCTATGCATCGCGCTCTCTCTCCCCCTCTCGTTGTTCTCTCGCTTGAGTGAAAGGCATAGCGCCACACCAGTCGCCCCACCCCACGCCCGCGCCCGGCCGAGCCTCGCCACCGCCATCCGCCTCAAGACGCCTCGCCCCAGGCAAGGCTAACTGCACGGCGCCACCACGAAAGGTCCCCCCGCTCCCGTCATTGGATCTCACTACGTTGCTGTTTTTGGCCGTCCGAGTGCTCTTTCCCTAAGCGAAGCAAAGCCAGCCAAAGCCGCCCATCCACGCCAAAGCCACTGTCGCCGACATCGGTTACACAGCGCGCGGCCAGCGCCTCCTCCTACGTCACCCGACGCGCCTAGACCAACCCCAACCTGCGAGAACTAAGGTGAGGCTTCAAGGCACCCATATTCAGGATTGATTTGTGGATTCAATGGGTATAATGTTAACTTAGGGTTTTACAGGAGTAGGAAAACAGTGATTCTCTTATGTGCTTGTGCTATGGATTGCAATCGGAGTGATGTAGTTACCGGGTATGCAGCATTATTTACTCTTTGTTGTATAGTATGCATGGATCTCGTATGCGTGTAGTGTTCTAACTCTGTAATGGGTGTTTTTTTAGTCTCGATGCGGAGCCTGAGCTTAGTTTAGTGCCTGAAGATGGTGGCATTCTAGAACATCCACAGGGACATGTCGTTAATTGGGATGAATTACGGATTGAGGAAAGGCAAGATGATGAAGGGGAAGGAAGGTTAGAAATTTTCGACGAGGATGAGCTGTATCGTTTGCTGGGCCTGAGAACCGAGGATGATCATGGCCAGGGTGCTGCTGATGGTACTTCAAATGATGATCAGGCTACCGCAAACAATGGTAGTACAGTCCCTGATGTTGACACTAGTGGTGCAGCTATCCCTGTTGATGATGTAATACCGGAGGAGAGGGTGATGGTGTATGACCGTAACAAATCATGCATGGATATTGGCATTGTGTACCCCAACATGGTTGAGTTTAGATTGGCGGTGAGACAGTTTGCCATTAATAAAGAGTTTGCACTACACACTGTGAAAACAGACATAGAGAGGTTTATTGGGAAGTGCATGGCACCAGATTGCCCTTGGCATATTAATGGTCGAAAACAACGTCATTCAAAAACTGTTATGATATACATAATTTTTTTTGTTATATGAATATGACTTTTTTTTTGAGTCACGGCAATGTTCTAATTTCTGTAATAATGCAAGTACAACTCTGATTGATCAACATAATTGTTCATCCAGTGCGACAAGACTTACTACTACACCCAATGCTCCCTAGGTTGCTTCAAGGGGTATCAAGCACCTCAGGAAGGACCCAAATATGGGCCCAAAAGAATTGAAGAAGCAGCTGCAAGACGACCACAAATGTGAAATTCACTATGACACCGTTTGGAAGGGGAGACAGATTGCAATGAAAGAGTTGTTTGGTAACTGGGAGGAAAGCTTCCAAATGCTCTACAATTGGAGGGCAGAGGTTCTGAAGCACTTACCAAATAGTGTCATTGAGATTGACATCAAGATGGTTGATGGCAAGGTACACTTTCACAGGTTCTTTTGTGCTTTAAGTCCTTGTATTGAGGGTTTTCTAGAGGAATGCAGGTCTTACCTTAGTATAGACTCAACTACGTTGAATGGTAGATGGTGTGGACACTTAGCAGCAGCCACTGCTTTAGATGGACACAATTGGATGTATCATCTTGCATTTGGCTTCATAGATGGTGAGACAACATAAAATTGGGAATGGTTTATGACTCACTTGCATAAGGCCATAGGAGACCTACCTATTCTTGCTATTTGCACTGATGCATGCAAAGGTCTAGAGAAAGCTGTTAAAAATGTGTTTCCTCATGTTGAACATAGAGAGTGTTTTAGGCATCTTTTGCCGAATTTCATTAAGAAGTTTGGGGTGATGATTTTTCGAAGATGTATCCTGCAGCTCGAGCATATAGAGTTGAAGTATTTCAATATTTCTTCAAATTTGTTAGAGAGGCTAGCGATCAAGTGATGGAACAAGATCAACAGAAAGTTGCAAGGTGAGCTAGGTTGACAGAACATGTGTAGATTTAGTACCATGGTTAACTCAGATAACAAGGCCAGACAACAGGCTGAAAATGGTGCTGTACAAAATCATCTGTGCATATTGGCATCAAACTAGCAACAAAAGCTAACTAATCAGTACTAATACAACATAGTTCTAGAACACAATCTTGCTTCACTTGCTAATAAGCACTACCACACCTAAAAGAACTATGACAGCCATGACTAAACAGAGCACCACCAATAGCTGGACCAGATCGATAAGCTTGTCCATCTTGAGATAGATCCTATCTTCATCAAAAATCCTACTTTTAAGCTTCATTTCTTCTTGACATTTAGTTTCACCATGACCTTCTAATGGCACTGCAGCTAGCAAATCTTCTTTAAGCTTCTTTGCAACTACTTTCTTGTACTCTTCCAACCATCTAAAGAATGGACATTTCTTCACTGCCTGTGGAAATGACAATACATAACACAATTTATTTATCCAAACCTTGACACAGTACCTAGTTCATCCAGTTGTATATGACAATAAACAACAGAGCAATATATACTCACAAATTCATTGTAGTTTATGCATTTGAAGAAAATTCTACCGTTGTTCTTTCAGGATTTGCATTCCACTACTTTATCACCACATTCTGGGCATGGAATCAGGGGGATCCCACTAGGGCTAAGTGGATACAGAGAAACGACACTTGGGATGAACGACGAACTAGACGAACCCTCACCCATAGTCTGGCGTGACGCTAGGGATGCGCGGGCGCCTTAGGGACGCGCCATGGGTCGGGCGACGGCGGCTTGGCGGACGGGCGGCTTGGTTGGGGCCGCCGCTGGGAAGAGCACCCAGACGGCCAGAGCAGCGGCCGCAGATCCAGCCGATGGGGAGAGCGGGGACTGCTTGCGTGGCGGCCGCCGGCGTAGCTAGCCTTCGCTTGGGGCAGGGAGCGTCTTGGGGCGGATGGCGGCGGCGCGAGGCTCGGCCCGGGGGCGCGCTGGTGGGGGCGGCTCAGGGCGGCGCGCCTCGCCTTTCACTCGAGCGAGAGAACAACGAGAGGGGAGAGATGAGAGCGCAGGCATAGGTCAACGAGCTCGAGGGGCAAAATGGTCACTGAAGGCTAAAATTTTGTTGAAATTTTTAAAGTTGACTTAAAACTCAAAATGGCATTATAGCGTGTTGGACTCGTTTCATAAGGGCATTTCAGCGAAGCCCACAAAATTGGTGGCATTTGGACGAAGCCCACTCCCCGTAAGGGCAAAATTCTGATTTTCTCTACACACAAAAGGAATCTCCTCTGCTCTGCCTGAGCTAATAATAGGCTGTTTGGGCCTGTTAGTTTCCCCTTCGCTATGGGCTCTAGCCCATTGTCTGTCTAGCCTGCTCTCTTGGCCCAGAGCCCGTGGTGCAGGAAGCCATCACATACTTTTGTCTGCAGCTGGGGGGTCATCCAAATCTTAGCAAATTTGCAATGTCCGATGATGATGCATATTGGAACAACCAACTCAGATTATTCTATTTCAGATAATCACTTAGTTACATATATTGCCAAAAAATGATTACCAGATTTACTGATCCTAGGATGTCGGATAAAGCTTCATTTACGGGGAGGATTTCCACAACGAAATTTACAGGAAGGGATTTTATATTTGAATACATATTTCTTTCCTTTTTTTTTGTTGGTTATAACTAAACACAGCTTTCTTGTACAGTATATGTTATGCAACACACAGTTGAAAGCTGTGTGAGCTGTGAGCTCCTAGTAGTCTCCTAAATACAACAGCCACAAGACAGCCCAGCTATCAGACACCAAATACAAATGTACAACTTCCACAGAGGGGGCTATATATGACCTGCAGCTGAATGCATATTTCTTGCTACCGTTACCCTTTACATGCTGGCTGTGGGAGATCAGTTGAAACAATCAAATCTACATGATCATATTTGTGCTTACTCACTATCTGACCAGATAACCTCCCAAGGTCCACATTTGCTCCCTAACCTGAAAACAAGAATAAACTGATTGTAAATTTAAGACTTCCATGCTGCTTCTATTCAAGACACTCCAGTACATGAATATTCCCTTTTCCTCAAGTTTGAAACTTGGCTCCTAAAAAATATGAAAAAAAAAATCAGAGAAGAACAAAGGATCATCTATTGCTACCTCCAGAACCCAGCAACTGCACGCAATCTCATAAATAGAGTAAGACCGGCCCATATGCCACCGAGACCAAACTTAGGAGTAGCTACTAGTAGGAATATTGATGAGACAGCTCCCGCAAAAAACTGAAACAACAAAGATTCGACACGATTAGGATGGCAAAGTTATGTTGAAGAGATAACTGATGACATGATAACGTGTGATAATATCGGAGACATAATAATGCAACAGAGTAGGATTATGGGCCCTGTTCGCTTGAACTTATCAGCTGTACTGTTTCAGCGAAATAACAGTATTTTTCTTTCACAACAAATCAGCATCAGCAGTTTTTCCAGCCAGCCGAACATGGCCATGAATCGCAACCGTGGAATATGCAGCATAGGCAAAGTCAGAAACACCATAGTAGAGCCCATCAGCCACAAATGCAATAGCATTCACCGGCTGAGAAATAGTGACAAACTGCAAAAATCCAACAACTGTGAACCTAAACCGCTGTACATTTCTTCAGAAATTAAGTGTAAACTTCTCATTTCTCATGCATGTTCTTACCCAGACTCCAGAACGCGCAACGTCTCAAACTGCTGGATCATCTGTAAACAGCAAAGACAAAGATCCAAACCCAACAAACAAGAAAGCAGCAAGGGCAAAACCAGTCACACCTCCAACCTACAAGGAAAAAAGGAACAGTGTCAGCTCCTTAAGGAGAAGGATAAAGGTATTTCCAAACTATTTCCAAGAAATGACTTCTTAACCTGCAGGACTTTGTATAAAACTGCGCGGGCTTGCTTGTAGTTCCCTTTTGCATATTCGCTAGCAAGTAGAAACTGTGCAAATTAGGGATACTTCACAAGTAAGTACACAGGTAACGAGCTCGATGAAAGTTCCATTCCAGTAATTTTGCAGACCTGGCCAGCAAGGGCTAGAGCATCATTGAGTAGAGAAATTGTTAACCACACTTGCAAGCAGTGGCGGAGCGTGAACCAGAATCAAGGGGGTGCGAATCGTGATGAGAAACTCGCCATAGGGGCAACAGGCAAGCTCTCGGTGGTGCCAGCTAGTATCGTAGTAGTGCCAATGGCTGAGTTCTCACGTTAAAATAGGACTACCTAGCAAAGCTTACTCAATTTAGGAATTAACAAAGGGAATTGCTATTAAACAGGCGCCTGATTTCTTCCAAAAGTTCAGGCGACGTGTGATGGCCAACGGTCACAGGCTTTCTTCTTCCTTTCGTCAGCTTAGCAGCAAAGTAGTAGATCGTGTCCTGAACTCGTCGCCTGAGAGCTCAGGCAACTGAACTCTAGGAGATGTGATTAACAAAAGATGAAAGTAGGGCATCTCAATGTACTCCAGCCGTGGTGCATTGTACTACGTACCAGGACTACTTTCATGTCGATGGGAAAGTAAAATCATAAATGTGAATGGACAAAAACACTAGCTGCCGTCTTCTGCAGTTTGAGCTACTAGGTGCCTAGCACTCCTCTGACTGCGAGCATTGCAACTGGCTAGAGATCAGCAGCTGGCAAACATGGTGTTCAGAAACTTTTCAGACCAAGGGGGGGCCGATGCCCCGTATCGCCTCCACGAGGCTCCGCCAGTGCTTGCAATCATATCTCATAGCCCGCCATTGGAACAGGCCCTTCCCTTGCAGCCAGAGATGTAGATAGTGTCAGTGTCAAGAATACTGCAATTGTCCTGCCAATTAGTAGACCACCTGAAAATTGTTCAAATTTCAAGTGGCTGTCATAAAGGTCAATTACACTAAGATGTTTTTTTGACCCGAAAATATATTACACTAATATGTAAGTTAGGGTGCTTAATGCGATAACTATCAAAAGAAGTTGAATTCATGAAAAGTTGTCTGTCTGTTTTGAAGCAATACTTTCTTATGATTAGGCAAAAACCATCAGACGAAAAAATCCTTGGATGAGCATGAGGGATATTGACCAACCAGATTTCAGGTAGCGGATGACTCCTCCATCCTCAATTATATTCCATGAGAACAGATCTACTTCATTATTCAGCTTCCAAAGGAGGATGAATGCTGTCAAGTACCTGAATACATGTAGACAAAAAATACAAATACTTTAGACAATTATAAGTTAGATAATGATAATAGAGGCAAAGATACTCCAAATAAGAAAATCTCATTTTATTTATAAGAATATCATGATGGCATCAACATACTCCGAGGTCACAGTGGCCAGTGCAGCACCGCTTACTCCTAGACCAAGTGGGAAAATAAGTAATGCATCAAGTACTGCATTTAATAGGTTGCCAGCACCTGTAAGCATCATACCATCAGTTCCTTGCTTGATCATTTTTAATCAATTACATAGAGTAGCTAGAATAAGAAATAAAAAATAGTTACAACAAAAGAATATGCATTTAAATAGCAAGGTCGAACCAATTCCAGATGGACAAAAAACTAGTGTTATGTGGGAATATCACTTATTGCCATTATGAGAGGGTGGGTGGCAAATGATTTGCCGCTTTGTGAGAGTAGTGAATGTGAGAGGGATTAAGCACGACCCCCCTCATAATGGCAAAGTTAAATGACTCTGTTATGTGTTACATTATTTTATCAAAATGAACTGGCAAAGACTTACCCACAGCATACAATGGTGTCCTCGTGTCCAGGAATCCACGAAATGCACCCTGAGCTGCAAGTGCCACTATGATTGGTGGAGCACCAAGTGCCCTCAGTGTAAGAAACTGTTCTGCTGGTGCTCGCATTGGTGAATCCTGTGTTGACCGTAAAGCGAAAAACTTATGGACAGCCGATGGAGTTTACTCCACACGTTCGGCATACTTGATTCAATTCAGAGGATCCCATCGAAAATTCAAGCGCGAACTCATCTGGAAGGCGCAAGCAGAAAACAAATGCAAACTGCACGCTTGGATCCTAATGCACAACAAGGTCCTAACGGCGGACAACTTGCAAAAGAGGGGATGGCCTCATTAAGAACATTGTGTTTTGTGTAATGGACCTTTGGAGACAGGGCTTCATCTCTCTTTGCTTTGCCCCTTTGCACAGGCCGTTTGGGGCCAAGTGTTATCTTGGGAAAATCTCATGGTGCAGCTGCCGCAGCAGGACCCCGCCTACATTGCCAAATGGTAGGAAGATGCAGCAAGCAAGATCTCAAAACAGGAACGCAGACATTTCAATGGAACACTAATATATATTGTGTGGAACTTGTGGAAGGAAAGGAATAGGAGGATTTTTTAGAACGAGTTCAAGACGGCACAACAGGTTGCCTCCATGACCAAAGAGGACATTGTGCAAAGGCGCAGGGCTTTTTCCTTTGCGGGGTGAAAAAACTGACCGTGGTAGGGGTGTATCTACTTTGGTCCTAGGACCGGTGTGATTGGCCCAATAGGTGCCATGTGTACATAAAACACTCTCTTTTCTATACTTAATTGAGCGGTAGAGCTCCTGCCTTTTCTTTCAAAAAAAAAGAGTGTCTTGAAAGAAAACTGCAAGAGTATAGGGAATTAGTCACAGAAGGTGTCATTAAGTATAATTTATAACAGTCGCAACATTATGGAACCTTGAAGTAAAATTTTTTTGAGTTGGCAGACCATGGAAACCTGGTTTCATAGACTGAACTCAAGAAGCCCACCCACCACAAAATGGGAAAAGGTAAATAGTCTAGAAGTGCTATATTTTTGCAGCGCCAAATGTGTGACATGATAGGAAAATGTTTGTGGACAAGTTTCCCATTAGATTCATATAATAAGGTGAAAGCACTTTCAGAGATTTCATTAGGAATAGTGACTTAGGCACAATGATTTTTGTAGAGATTTCATTAGGAACTTAGCCACATAGACATTGGATGGTTCAGACCAACAGCCAACCAAACATACATGAAACACCTAAGAATATTAACACCCAGTGCTGATATCAAATTCAAGGGAAGAAATAGATCCTAGAAATCTGAGCATGCGAATAAATTGGTCTTACGTACGACGGCTTGATCCGCTTCTTTTTTCATCCGGAACAGTGTTTTTCTCTCACAAAAATTCCTCCAGCATTCCTCCAAACCATCCAAATTCCTCCAGCTGAACACCCCCGATGTTTATCAAGGTCCCAGATCCAACAATCAGAACTACCATTTCGAACAATCCAATGCCAGCAGCTAGAGCCAAGGATGTTGACACCGTTGGAAGAACCTTCTTTTGTCGCCTTGCCTTCTCTATTGGCGTCAACAATTCATCTCCTAGGTGAGACTAAACAGTAATCAGTGTAATGCGAACAACAGAGCTTTCACAAAACAAATGGAAATCTTCATTTGCTTACTTTCCCCTTCGGTGTTAGAATTGGCATCCACTGCCTGCTGCTCGGCAACAAAGGATGTGGTGACATTAAGTAGCGGCACATTAAACAGCTTGGATACCAAATTGAATATGGAAGTCGATGCACCAACAGCCGCAAGCTGAGCCGAACCTGACAAGTGACAAGAGACTCTAAATCATCAAATGGATGAAAAGGTTGACCTTGACCCCCTCAAGGCAATCTCTCTCTTCTTCTTTCTTTTTTTCTTTTTTTTTACTGAAAGCGGCCTCTTGCCAGTTTTGGTATGGCACGATTCTAGGTTTGAAAAGAAGAAATGCACTGGATTACAAAGCATCTCAGCATGGATGAGATGGATTACCGATATTTCCGACGAAGGCGGTGTCGACGAGCGCCGTGATGGGGTCCGCGGCAAGCGCGAGCACGGCGGGCGCGGCGATGGCGAGGATGTCAGCCGCAACCCCGTCAAGCCTGAGCCACCAAGGCGCCCCGCGCCCAGCGACGGCCTCCTTCTCTTCGCCACCCTTAATCTCAGTCTCTGTCCCCTCATCGGGTGTCACCTCGTCGACGACGTCTGTGATGACCGGCTTCCCACCACCGCGACTGCATCGTGGGAGACTCCTCCACCGAGGCGGAGTAGAGCGGCGGCGGTGGCAGCGGCAGGAGGTTAAGGAGATACGGTTGGGCCCCGTGGACGGGTCTCGGGCGTGCGCGGCGGCTGCAGGCCTCGCCGGCGTGGCGGCGTCGGCGAGGTGGTCACAGTGGTCGGAGTGTGATTGGTTGGATTGAATTCGATGCGGGCCTGCCTTTTGGGCTCGCTGGACAGTGGGCCCTGGGAGATCTATGGGCTTTTGGCCTCTCCAGCCAAGTGGGCCCTTTCCTAATCCGCCACTGGGCCAATTTCACAAGTTATCAAGTGTTAGTCCTCTCAAAAAAGAAAAAAATATCAATCAAAATTCAACTGAGGCTATCATGTTCAGACTTCAAATTCCTCTAAAAAAATGTTCAGACTTCAAATCTCGAAATATACCCTGTTTTTCGCTCTCATAAAAGAAAACATACCCCATTTTTCCAAAAACTCTGCATTACCAATTGAGACGATTGCCAGGTCTCACATTTACTTTATGACTATGTTACAACAAAAACCTTTTGCCTAAAACTTACTTGAAGATAGAGTATAAGCAGAGTACATCCACGAGCCTCAGACCAATTAGTCTCTTCCACATTTACAGCAAAAGTTGGCTTGCCCAAATTTTTTTTTTAGATAATGGAACAAAGTTCCAGCCTCTACCTTCCGTGGAGGCTTGCCCAGATATGACCACTCTTCCTCACCACCACACTATCTGCATTTCACCTAGTAGTAGTTCACAATTTATATGATTTGTAAGATCAGGACCTAGACAGATAATACTCTTCTACTTAATACGCAACTTCTACTGGTTATTTACATGTATTTGCCGTTAGCTGTCAATAATCTCTGTTACCATCTTCCCGTCGAATCACCTAGACATGGTCATTTCTTGTCACTTATCAGTTCAGTATCAGACCAGATGTGCTTCCATGGTCCACCTTTGCTCCCTAACCTGCACACAACAGCAAAATACTACGAGTCACCAAGGTTTACGCTATCCATATTTCAAGAAAAGGGGTAGCTGGAACCTCAGGTAGTACCTCCAAAATCCAGCAGCTGCTCTCAAGCTCATAAAAAGAACTAGACCAGACCAAACACCACCAAGACCAAGCTTAGGAGCAGCGGCAAGAAGGAATGCGGATGAAACAGCCCCAACAAAGAACTGAGCAACACAGATGCCAAAAATTGTAAGCACGCCATAATCCCGCTACATTTAGTTATGACAACCTAATGGGGGATACAATAGAAAACGACATCCATACCATAGAGTATGCAGCATAGGCAAAGTCAGACACGCCATAGTACAGCCCGTCGATCACGAACGCAATAGCATTTATCGGCTGAGAAACAGTGACAAACTGCAAGAGTTCATATTTTCAAAATGAGCATAAACAATATCATGCTTTACTTCTGTAAGTCAGGTGCTTTATTCCAATTATTCTTCATTACCCAGACTCCAGATTTGGCAATGTCTAAAACTGCCGGATCATTTGTGAACAGCACAGAGAAAGATCCAAACCCAAAGAACAGAGCCACAGCCAGTGCAATTCCAGTTACACCTCCAATCTACATTTATAACAAAATGTATCAGCAAGCAGCTCATGACTGGAGACCAGCAGCATTTTTGAACTTCAAAGCGCATTATTAACCTGCAGAACTCTGTATAAAACCAAACGAGCCTGCTTGTAATTCCCTTTTGCATATTCACTCGCAAGTAGAGCCTGCACTGAACTATGGACACTTTTAAACAGAACACATACAGATTTGTAATGTAAGACCCTAAACGAGAAATGTCACGTAACGTAAAATGTACAGACCTGCCCAGCAAGAGCTAGCGCATCATTGAGCAGAGAAATTGTCAGCCACACTTGCAAGCACAACTGATGGCCGGCCATTGGAACAGGCCCTTCTCTTGCAGCCAGCGATGTCGACAGTGTCATGGTCAGGAGTACTGCAATAGTCCTGCCAATCAGAAGTCCACCTACAGAATAGTTTCCAGTTAAAGTGGCTATCATGGCCTCATGGAGCTCTGCTATGAACTAGTAACCTATAATTTGGAGCATGTTAAAGATTAATAAAGTTGCAACAAAAAGGTTTAACAACAAAAGAAGCCCATTCTGTATCAATACTTGTTAGTAAATATTTGGAGCATCCACCAACCTGATTTTAGATAACGTATGATTCCACCACCAATTACATTTCGGGAAAAGATTACTACTTTACTATTCAGCTTCCAGAGGAGGATGCAAGCAATCACATACCTGACAACAGGCAGATAGTTGTACCAAGGATTTAGTTCTCATGGGTACAATTACGGAGATGAAAAAGGAGGAATTAAGACAATCCAACAAAGGAAACACATGAAATTCTTAAAATGAATTCAACATACTCTGATGTCACTGTTGCCAAGGCAGCACCTCTAACTCCTAAACCAAGTGGAAAAACAAGTATTAAGTCAAGTATGACGTTTACCAGGTTGCCAACACCTGCATCCAGAGTGCTTAAATATTTACTTTTGTCGCTTGCAGGAACATAAAGCATCATAACTAAGACAATCATACAGCAAACTTCTCAGAACTTTTTTCGTGAACGCGTGCCCTCATGGCATGTGTTTCACTAAGAGGAAGCAGAAGCAGTCACAGTACAACAAACTCTGGTAAGCCAACAAACTTCTCAGAACTTGCATTTGTTGTAGCTATCACTTCCTAAATCTTATTGTCGCTCATTAATGGGGAACTTTAAATCGAAAATTGATAACATTGACAGGTCTATTATTGTTAAATTTCTAGATGGCCACTGAACTAGGTGTACAGACCACTGCAGTGGCAACATGCACAAGACATTTCATCCTGGAACTTGCTTATAAGAAATACATAAATTGCAACACTTCACATGGTCCAGTTTGTTCATTTCAGCAGCTAAAAGAGTTTCTATAATCTTACCCACAGCATATAAAGGTGTCTTCGTATCCATGAGCCCACGAAATGCACCCTGCGCAGCAAGTGCTATCACGATAGGTGGAGCACCATATGCCCTAAATGTAAGAAATTGCTCAGCTGGTATTCGCATTGGGGAATCCTGCATAGATAATATGCAACACATTAGGTTTGACAGTTTGAGTACATATACTGTAAGAAATACAGATAATAAACAAACTTGGGCTCAAATGTCAAAACTAAAATTGAGTGTTAGTATTACAGTTAGTCAACGTCCCCAATTCAACAAGTAATACCATGTATTATATGACAGGTACATGATACTTTTATTTAAAGAAACATAGCTATAGTATGACAATATTTGGGTAGTGTAACTGATGCGATATCATATAACTTCACACATTTCCACATGAGAAGATAAAAGCGTCCTGGCTAAGCGGATAACTAACTGGGTGCCAAGTCATTGATACTAAAGTTTCTGAGAACGGAAAGAAATGAAACTATTGTTACTTACAATAGGTACGCCAATCATGTCCATTAGTGTTCCTGATCCAAAAATCAGTGCCACAGTTTCCATCAGCCCAATACCAGCAGCTAAAGCCAACGATGTTGATACTGCTGGAAGAAACTTCCTTTTCGGGGTCAACTCTTCAGGAGACCTTGGAAAGTCGTATCCTAAGTGAGAACTAAATAATGGATTAGTATAACACAAATAGTGGGGTCATTTCTAACAAATGTTCGAAATCTTCAGCAGCTTACCTTCTCTTGTCCCAGTATAACCATCATCCGTTGCTTGCTGCTCAGCAACAAAGGATGTGGTCACGTTAAGCAAGGGCACATTAAACAGCTTTGACACCAAATTGAACACTGAAATTGATACACCAACAGCAGCAAGTTCGGCCGAACCTGATGACAGAAAAATTATGGGTATTTTAATTTAAATATCAGTGAATGCTCATTGACTAGGAAAAAACAGGAAAGATCAATGAAATGTTTCCATCTGAAGTACAGTACGAGACTTGGTGTCAGCATTCAGCGGTTCACAAACTGACCCCAGAAAGGCAGAAAAGAGGAAAGCTTTGCTTCACCTAAGTGACCGACGAAGGCGGTGTCGACGAGGGCCGCGATGGGGTCGGCGGCGAGCGCGAGCGCGGCGGGCAGAGCGATGCTGAGAATGTCCAGCCCGATCGTATCCAGAGAAAACCAGCCCTTCGCCCCGCGCCCCTCGTCCCCTTCCCCGTTCTTGGCCTCCCGCGAAGAAGCTGCTTCCTCCTCAACCACGGCTTGCTTCCCGCTACATCGACGGGGCCAACGGCGGCGGCGGCGCTGTGCGAGGCAGGCGCGAAAGGAGGCGCGGCTGAGCCGTGATGACGGGGTCAGGGTGAGAGCGCAGGCGACCGCCCTCACCGTCACCGGCGGCGAGGTCACCATGCGCGCGGGCGAGAGGAAGAATATCTCGCTTCTATTCAACCAAATGGTTCAGAGTGAAGACAGACAGGACATATGGCCACAAATGCAAGAATTTCACATAATACAAAAAAGGAGAAATTTTTGTAGAAAGCACTATATATATGTATAATTCATATATAATCAACTAGGATTTAAATCGGTGGATTAAGAAAAACGACTCTTTTTTTTTCTTCCCTGCAAAGCGCAAACTGCAATCGTGCAGAATTACCAAAGGTGGTTTGCTGTCCACCAATTGGTATCTGAAACTGAAAGCATCATATCCATTTGGGCAAGTGGTCTTGGCGATGCTGATACTGACTGCTTAAAATGTAGATACGTCAGCAAGCTTACAATTTTGGAATATATATTTTGTGTGAACCATGGCCGTGCAATTGGATTCTAATGGCCCCCATGAGAAGAAGGTTTTCAGATGAATCAAATCAAATGTTATGTGTGGTTCTTCGAGCTAGTCTGCCCCAACAGATCTTTCGAGATTGCTACTCGCCTTCAACGATCATTTCAAATATTTGGATTCTAATAGCCCGTTCGCTTTGCTAAAAAAAAAAAGCCGAAACACTGTCCCGGCTGATTTGGTGCGAGAGAAAAATACTGTTCCGGTTGAAAAAACAAGCTGAAAAAGACGGATTATAAGAAAAACCCTTTCAGTCACACTGCCCCTTGCTATCTTACTTTCAGTTCCACTCCAATAAAGAAGCATATACTCCCTCTAGTCATCACTACACTAGTTTAACGATTAATTAATAAAATAATAGTATAAACATACTAAGATTTGATCGCTAAAAACGTATTAAGGATTTTAACTATACTATTTTCAACACATTAAAAATTGTAATATTCAAAAAATATGGACAAAATCTACCGTGCCAATTCTTTATGAGAAGTCCATTCAGAAAATTCAAAGAGTCATTGATCGGAAAAAAACGGAAATGCTCTCCTCAGAGCGTCCGTCCATCAAGACGCGCCCTTCCACGGCCTGTGGAGCCCAATATGCCTGTTCCCCTCATGGCTTGTCCACTAAAAATAAACTGGACACTGATTCCCCATTCCTTCTCGCCTGTCGCGGCCTTCTTCATCGTGTGCATGCGATTGTCGTGGCCGACTCCACCGCGTCGCTCGCCCGCCGCTCACCTTCTCCAGCGCAGGGGACGCTCGCCGCAGGTAGCGCAGCTGCCCGTCGCTATCGCCTCCATCGCGGGGACCGCACCCTCCCACGCTGTCGTCGGGAGCCGCGCAGCCGCCCGCTAGCATCCCCCTCCCCCGCCACTCCGCGTCGACGAGCCTCCATTCGTCCAAGCATTAAATAGATGGATGTTGCGCTTGAAAGCGCATGTTGCAAGCGTATGTTTTAAGTGTTTCAGATATTTCAGAGGTATGTTGCAAGTGTTTTATATGGATGTTGCAAAAGTAGATCGGGATGTTATATATGTTGCAATGGTTGTACACGTATGCTGCAAGCTTCTGTTCCAAATGTTTCATCTGTTTTTCAGACGCTTGTTGTAAGTGTGTTTATCTGGATGTTGCATATCTTTCACACATATGTTGCAAGTGTTTTATCTGGATGTTGCATATGTTTTACAATGACTTTTCAAATGTTTTTAGGTGCTTTACAAGTGTTTCAGATGTATGTTGCATGTGTTTCAGTTGTTTTTCAGACGCATGTTGCAAGTGTGTTTATCTAGATGTTGCATATGTTTCACATATATGTTGCAAGTATTTTATCTGGATGTTGCATAAGTTTTGCAATGACTTTTTAAATGTTTTTATGTGTTTTTGCAAGTGTTTCAGATGTATGTTGCAAGTGTTTCAGCTGTTTCTGACGTATGTTGTAAGTGTTTTATCTAGATGTTGCAAAAGTAGATCTGGTGTTGCATATGTTGCAATGACTATATACGTATGTTGCAAGTGTATGTTTCAAATGTTTTAGTTGTTTCAGTCGTATGTTGCAAGTGTTTTATCTGGATGTTGCATATGTTGCAGTGCCTATACCTATATGTTGCAAGCGTATGTTTCAAATATTTCATCTGTTTTAGACGTATGTTATAGCAAGTATTTCATGTTGCAAGTGTTTTCATTAGCCTGGGAAGCGAGCGCAAGCAGATGCGGTCTCTATGAGCGCGGGAGGCGAAGCGGGCGTGGGGCGGTCTCCACATGCATACACAGCAGCAGGCGGGCAGGCGCGCGTAGGTGTAGCAGCAACAGACGGGCAGCATGTGTAGCAACAACAGACGGGCATACGTAGCAGCAGACGGGCTCGCAGCGGGGCCGGCGCCACGGTAGGCGGGCAGGCTCGGTTGTTCGAACGGGGCTATCGTCCCGACGTCCGGATAACACTGCCAAAAAAAACATGTCGACAAGTATATGTACACATACATACATGTTGTGGTGGGCTTTCCTAGTGGGCCAATGTGGAATTACTTCAACGAGCCCACCACAGACCACACTGCCGGCGCCGGCGCCACGTGCCACTGCCCCCACTCGTCTTCTCCAGAAACCCGCCGCCGCAGGCGCTTTGGTCTCCGAGTCTCCGTCGTCCCCGTCCCCGACTCCGGCTACCACTAGCTTCCGACCCGTAAGTACCAACGCCCCTTCGCCCCTACCTCACCACAAGCACACTAGTTCTCGATGCGAGATTCATCCATTCCGTCCATGGGATTGGCCTTTGATTCGTGCCGCGTTGTGCGTCGCAGCTTGCAGTTTTTTAGGAGCAAACTCCACCTGACCGAGGGACGAATTCAGAGGGTGCATGCATATGAGGTTTGCGGGCTGGTACATGAAGATCGCGGCGGTCGGGGCCTCCATTGGCGCGGGCATGGAGCTCTTCAGAGAAAATAGTATATTTGGACTCCAATCGTTACGCTTCGCATGTTTACGACTTGACTTCGTAAAAATAGGCCTCCAAACATTAGACTCTTGATTTACATGATATTATGTGTATTTCCTCCCTTTTGAAGTATTCCTCTATGTATTTGATACATCAACTGACATGTTTGCCCTTCTTTTCATTTGCACGTTCCATGTATTTGCCGTCGCTCTCATTCGTTTGCACGTTATGTACTGATGCTGGACATGTAACGTGGCTGTACCGGGCAAGCAGGCAGGCATGCTGGGTGCCACCGCCTGGGCCTTGAACTCCCGTCAGTGAACGACTCCTTCACCTTGGCCTTGAACTCATCGTCGGGGAACCCTTCAACGCACGTCTCCATGTTCGCGATCACTGCGCTAAGCCAGATGCGCAGCTGGTAGCTCTGCTTGGCGATGCCGTCCTTGTCGTCGACGCCCTTGAGCGTGCTGTTGAGGTCGTCCTTGGCGTCCGCGAACACCTCCCTGCAGTCGGCGACGGCGGCCTTCACACGCGGGTCGTTGCTCAGGATCAGGTCCGCGCGGTCGAACGCCTGGCTGATCGCGTCGCCGATCACCTCCACGGCACTGCGGACGATGTCCTTGGGCGACGACGAGCTGGCGTTCGCGACCTTGCCAAGGCTCTTCTCGCACGCGTCCGTGTAGTCTGTCTGCGAACACATCGCCTTGATGCTATTGGACACGGCCTTCAGATCCGTCTTCGAGTCCTGATTCCGATTCTGATTCCGAGTCCGAGTCCGACCCGCCGCTGGACTTGCCTTTGGCTGGCGACGACGAGCCCTTGGAAGAAGACTTGTGGCCACCGCCACCGTCGTTGGACGACTTCTTCCCGCTGTACATGACCGCGGCGCAGCCCATGACGATGAGTATGATGATGATGGAGACGGTCCCGGCGGCGATCATGATGCGTCTGCGCTGCTTCCGCACATTCTCGGCGCGGCGGCGCTCGGTGAGCGGACCGAAGTCGCCGAGCGGCGACGACGACATGGTCGGAGCTGTTTTCACCATCCATGGGGCCCTCGGGCGTGGCCACGTCGTCAACTCAGGTATCAAATACACGTATATAGATTAGAAAATAGAGCAAATACATGTAATGTCACATAAATCAAGAGTCCAACGTTTGGAGGCCTATTTTTACGAAGTCAACGTTTGGAGTTCCAAAACGGCGAAGCACGACAATTGGAGTTCCAAATATGCAATTTTCTTGTCCATCTGAGCGCACACATCCCCCCCCCCTCTTTTTTTTAACCTGTAGGTAGCTTTAGGCATACTGCGAAGCTTTCGAATTTTTCAACTGCACCATTGCTGCACTTCTAGATCCAATTGACACCTGCATTATTCTCGTCATCCAAATTCAGACCAGCTGATGGTTGACGATGAAACCAATGGGCTTGTTTAAGTCATTGGGTAATTGCCAAAGTACCCAAATTTACCACAAATCACCAGTTGTTGGTTCAATGCATCTTCCCATGTAACAACAATCCAAACTTCTGATACTTTGGTGGCCATACAACGAGTTCAGATTGCCTAGTACCATCCATCCTGTCAGGCTTTCTATTTTTTTCACTGCTGCAAAGGAAGGTCTCTTACATATATGTACCTTTTTCCCCCATGGTTATATGCTACAGATGATAAGGTTGTTGTCTTGGAGTCAGAAAAACGAGCTTGGGAAAGCAGTCCAGAGGCCCAAGCTATGAGGGAAGCCCTGAACCCATGGCGCAAGCATGATGAACAACAGAAGAAATAGTCATGAGTTATGCATCCTGTCAAGTGATTGTATCCTCCATTTGTAAGCCCTTGAACGAGGTAATATGAATGTGAGTCTTTGCATTTGGTGAATAATTTGTACTACTTCTCGGAAATTGCTGGATGCCTGGATGGATCTTTTTTCGAGGGAACAAACTATACACTTTCAGACTGGATTTCACTTGTTATTGTGTTATTTTTACAGTATAACAGCGAAATTGTAGGTATAGAAAGAGCTGAAAGCTGTATGTCTGTTTGTACAATAATTGAATGCTCTGTGGATCCCTCGCTGAAGTGTAGTTCCTTTTCAAATATTGCTCAATGAAGTTTAGTTCCTTTTCAACACCTTAGTAGTCCATCCTGACCATTCTTGCAAAAGTAAAACTTTCTGTGTCATATTGTCCTATTTGAAGAACTCATTGATCCCCTGTTTGCTGTATCAGTATTTCCTTAATAAAGATTGAAAGAGAAGTTATTTGACTTCATTTTAGGCAGAAAGCTGAAATGCCAATCAGATCCAATCTCCGAAGTCCTGCATACTTTAAGCCATTAAGTATAACATAAAACAGTAAACATGGAGCATTTTGCACACAATTCTATTTGACTGGCAACAACAGTCTAAACTGACTCATGCTATCTTGGGCAAACTTGTTAGTATTCATGCTCTGTGGACTATCTTGGGCAAACTTGTTAGTATTCATGCTCTGTGGACTGTGAATGGTGTGTTGGTTTTGTACTTTAACATATCAGCTATTAAGCTGTTACTTTCCGATCATCTTGGTTTTGTTCAAGTATTTGCATTCACATCCTCCAGTTGTAACCCCTCAAATGAAGTAATACAAATGTGATTCTTTTTGCATTCCAGTGAATACTCTCTCCTACTTCTCTGAAATTGCTGGATGGTAGCTTCCAGGAATGTTTAAAGGTTCATAGGCATGTATCCACACTGGATTCGCTTTCTACCGTGCTATTTAACAATATAATAACAAAATTATAGGTTCAGAAAGGTGACAAAGGTCCATTTCTTTGCCTGAATCGAATGCTCCATGGGCTCCATACTGAATTATATTTCTTTTCTGATTACAGCTCACTGGAGTGGTCCATCTAGGTCATCCTTCCAAAATTTAGAACTTTCATGTCATTTTCTGCTATTTAGAGAACTCGCTGCCCTCCTTATTTAATGTAAACGTTATTGCCCTGACAAAGATTGAAAGATAAGTATTTGCTCTGAACTCTACCATGTGATGAACTGAGGCATGACCCTCCTTAGCTAGATGAGGTTATATTTACTTAGGAGGTTGAGATGTCAGAAGTTTCAAGTTGTGTGAGACTCCCAGGTCTCAGGAGTTGGCTTGGGCGTCGGAAGTTCCGACGTTCCCTATCCGACTCTAGCTATTTCCAATTCTGATCCAAAGTCCTCCGATCTCATGGAAAACTTACAGATTGCATCCTTGGAAGGTTTCCATTGGGATAAGTCCACACCCTCTCTCTCTCTCTCTCTCTCTCTCTCTCTCTCTCTCTCTGTGTGTGTGTGTGTGTGTGTGTGTATATATATATATATTAGAGGGTCATGCCTGGTTGAGGTATTCAATACACAATGGACAAAATCAATCTACCTTACCTTTTTTATCTTTTATCTCAAGCTCTTCCAACCCCCTTACTAGTCCATCACTTCTCTCGACGAGATTTGCCAGCGTTTTAAGTGACCTTGTTAATCCTAGAACACCTCCACCGTCGCCTCCCCCGCTAGGTCTTCCCGGGAGGTGTTTGCAGGTTTCATGAAATAAGAACGAGCATCTAATTAGCCTCGTCGACCTATTGGTTCACATCGACGTTGAGATCTTCCTTCACTGCGTGTGTGACCTCGAGCGATGCAGCCTCTATCAGTATGACCAAAATCAGGGTCAATACCTGCTAGTGTATGGTCATCTAATATTATTTGTCGTGACGAATATAAACGTCATTTTTCATATTGACACAATATTGTACGTCCAAGCACTTGTATTGTAGTACATTCCCTTAATTCATCTGTAGAGAGTTAATTCATCACCAATTGGCTGCGGGTTAACGAATGGAACATCCGAACATGCATACGAATCTAATCCAGGCTATGTATAAGCTGTGCTCGGCTTGCACGCATATGATCATTATTTAGATGCTACTAGCTAGCTAATTGAGCAATTTGGATTGTATGTATCATGCAGTGCATGGAAATGGCTGTATGATTGATGTATATAGGCATCCACCTTGGATCGATGGATGGCACACAGATAACAGAACATGATCAGGGTTTTGTTTTGGCCTTATTACAAAGTAATAATGCAGAGGGCTATGTATATGTAATAATATAATACAGGTAGCGCAGGCAGGCAGATTATTTGTTAACTAGGAGGTAGACGTGACGTATGCAGGCAATCAAGTCGGAATCGAAATCAAAATCAACATCTAATACAGGAGTGAGTATATAAATTCTATGAGCCGAAACCCTATATATATATATTGCTGGCTGCCAAGCGTATAGCTAGCGTCCCGGAAAGCATATAAAACCAGATATGCACATGGAAATCGAATCTGCCTATCACAACTGCAGATGCCCTCTTTGCCGAGTGCTGGGGGCACTCGGCAAAGCCAGGCAAGCACTCGGCAAAGGCTTTGCCGAGTGCCGCACTCGGCAAAGGCCTCTTGGCAAAGACTTTATCGGCAAAATTTCTTTGCCGAGTGCCAAAAATCGACACTCGGCAAAGTCTTTGCCGAAAGTGCCAAGCCCGCACTCGGTAAAAAATAACTCGCTGTCAACATTTAACGCTGGCTTTGCCGAAAGTGCCTAGGGGCCGCACTCGGCAAAATTTGAATGTTTGCCGAGAGCCGTAATGAGCACTCGGCAAAGAAATAATTTTTTTAAATCTTTTAAAAATAGTCTTTGCCGAGTGGTACCATCCGGCACTCGGCAAAAATTGATTTCTTTTTGCCGAGTGCCAGTCGTGGCACTTTTCGGCAAAATGTACCTCTTTGCCGAGTGCCGGTGCTGACACTCGGGCAAAATTGACCTCTTTGCCGAGTGCGCCAGTCAGGGCACTCAAAGAAACTGGGAAGTGGCTGTTTTTTGCGCGGCATTTTTTTTCAGCTTTTGCCGAAAGTGCCACACCCTCGCACTCGACAAAGACTTCTTTGCCGAAGTGTTGGCACTTTCGGCAAAGCCGGAAATTTGCAATTTTTTTGTTTGCTGCTTTCCTTCGAAAGCAAACACGCAAAACTCATATATAATACATGAGACAGCACACAGGCATTTAGCATCACACAAAACGCATACATAATCCATAATACATCACAAGCACATTCAACATCCATCACAAGCACATCCTCCTGCATAATCCATCACACGCACATCCAATGTGCAAATCCATGACAACATCTAAGAAGTCTTCATCCAACACAAGTCCTAAATCAAGAAAAGTCAATGAAACATGAAGGGGCACCACCTACTGCCACTGATCCCAATGGGAGCCTGAAGGGGCACCTCCGTGCGGTGGTGGACCTGTCCAGCCGGGGTGTGTGTGCTGAGGCGAAGGAGTCGGGTTCGAACCCGACGACTATTGCACAAAGGAGAATTGAATTCATTAGTATCTACACAAGCTAAAGGACTTGATCAACCATATATATATACTCACCGGAGTGCCTAGAGCCGGAGGAGTAGGAGGCACAACTGGAGCGAGCAGCGACTGGGGCACCACCACACCCGGGAGAGTGGTGCCGAGGCTCGACATGAATGAGAACATGTCCTGCATCCTCTGCGCCTCGGCCGCCCTCTGGGCCCTCAGGACCTCCCACTCGGCCCTCTCGGCCTCCCTCTGGGCCCTCTCCCTCTCCCTCTCGACCCTCTCGGCCTCCCTCTCGGCCTCCATCCTCTCCACAGTGGCCTGCAATATTCAATCACCAACGTTTAAACAATGCAAATGCAAGGTACATGTGTAAAAGTAATGAACAGCGAATGAAATAGAACTAACCTAGAGTGCCGCCATCTGCTGCAGTGTGCTCACCTGCCGAGGTCGAATGGGGACAGAGGAGCTCATGCTCTGTGCTCGGATCTGGGCGAGGTTGGGCACAGAGGTCGAGTCGACCATGTTGGAGGCCATCCAGTACCGGTCGTGCTGCTTCCCTCCTCCGAGCCTCATCACGAGGTCGGTATCAAGGGGCTGGGTGGCGGGGTCGAAGTCCTCCCCATGCCGCTCGCGGGCCACCGAGGCGTAGTCGGTGAGCTTGCTGTGGACGCTCGTGTTGCTATACGCCTCGGGCCCGTTCTCCGGGTTGTAGACGGTGTCCGGGGCTGTCGCCTTGCCCTTGTGTGCCATGGCGTACGCCATGAACTCGTTGCATTCCTGGCCATCATGCGACTGGGACTGCGAGGAAAACACAAAGATGATTAGAAGTAATGAGAATTGAGCGTTAGAACAAATAAATAAATAAGTGCGTAGCGTACCCAGTGCTCAGGCGTCTGGCCGAGGGGCCGATTGCCTTGGTGGTGCGCCGCCGCCCACCCATCTGCGGCGGCACTCCCGGCGGAGGGCGTGCCTCTCCTCCACTCATCGGAGACCCACTTGTCCACGATGGCATTTGTGAGCCTCTCGTGCTCGGCGCACCAAGAAGGACACATCTGCATGCCATCAAGTATTGTATTAGAAATGTTAGAATATAAAATGAAGGCTACCTATTCTTCATGGAATGAGTCAAGAACAATGTTTTATAACTTACTTGAGGTACCGCTCCTCGGTGAGTGTCATGGTCCCGGCCTCGCTCTTCCCCGGTACCACCAAGGACGTCCCTGAGTGGTTGATGTGGCACTCGCAGCCTCGCGCCTCGTAAATGTGTC